ATGTCCCTGGATGTGTTCCAACCCTCGGCGCTCGATTACACGTCCCGTCAGAAGCGCTGACAAACCCACCTCTGTGCCTCCCAGCTCTGCCACTACGCTGATGATGTGGTGTTTTATATTTAAGTTGGGGTCGGGGGGGTTGGTGGGTGGTGTGAATGTGCTACAGAAAAAGCAGCGCCGTCATTTTCTTAAGTGTCGTTACTAAAAGAAAAAAGGTGTTTCTCTCAGATTCGTTGGTTTAATCGGGCCGCGACAAAAAACCAGGGCCAAAAACAACCCGACAAAGTGGGGCAAGTAGGTGTGTATGTGTGTGTGGGGGGGTGTGTAGGGTGGGGGGTGTGAAGCTTGGTGAGAATTGTGCATGTGATGAGAAAAAGAAACAGATGAAATGTCTGACTTCTGCAGCCCAGGAGCCGACGTCGTCCTTGTGGAGTCTGTAGGTGTAGACGAAGCCGCGGCAGCTGCAGAAAAACACAAACACAGACACGGACACGGAGAGAGAGAGAGTTTGTCGACCGGAGTTGACTTCAAATCCTGGCCGACGCTGTCCAGAACGCCGGCCTGGAGAGGATTTTAATGGTCAGAGTCAAAAAGTTCTCAGACAGCGCTCGTCACCACTGAAGGCTGGTCTTCAACTCACACACAGATTAGGGGGGGGTGTAGGGTGGGGGGTGTGAAGCTTGGTGAGAATTGTGCATGTGATGAGAAAAAGAAACAGATGAAATGTCTGACTTCTGCAGCCCAGGAGCCGACGTCGTCCTTGTGGAGTCTGTAGGTGTAGACGAAGCCGCGGCAGCTGCAGAAAAACACAAACACAGACACGGACACGGAGAGAGAGAGAGTTTGTCGACCGGAGTTGACTTCAAATCCTGGCCGACGCTGTCCAGAACGCCGGCCTGGAGAGGATTTTAATGGTCAGAGTCAAAAAGTTCTCAGACAGCGCTCGTCACCACTGAAGGCTGGTCTTCAACTCACACACAGATTAGAGAGAAAAAAAAAAAAAAAAAAACGCGTTCAAATCAACGGCCAATAAACTTTGACTGTGGTGAAAATAAAAAAAAAACCAAAGCGGGTCTGGAAGTTTCCTATTCAAACAAACACGTCAAAACCACAGGAAAATAGCAGGGTCTTCAGCTCGTCTTCAGCTCGTCTGAGTTTTTGACCCACGGCCTCAGAGTCTGACGTGCACTTTTAGAAAATGTTTTCGTTCTATATGTTCAGTGCAAACGTAGTATTACTACAGGCAGTACATACTGGGTATTACTTTAGGCAGTACATACTGGGTATTACTATAGGCAGTACATACTGGGTATTACTATAGGTAGTGCATATTGGGTATTACTACAGGCAGTAAATACTGGGTATTACTACAGGCAGTACATACTAGGTATTACTACAGGCAGTACATACTGGGTATTACTATAGGCAGTACATACTGGGTATTACTATAGGCAGTACATACTGGGTATTACTATAGGTAGTGCATATTGGGTATTACTACAGGCAGTAAATACTCGGTATTACTACAGGCAGTACATACTTGGTATTACTACAGACAGTACATACTGGGTATTACGACAGGCAGTAAATACTCGGTATTACTACAGGCAGTACATACTGGGTATTACTACAGGCAGTACATACTGGGTATTGCTATAGGTAGTACATACTGGGTATTACTACAGGCAGTACATACTGGGTATTACTATAGGTAGTGCATATTGGGTATTACTACAGGCAGTAAATACTCGGTATTACTACAGGCAGTAAATACTGGGTATTACTACAGGCAGTAAATACTGGGTATTACTACAGGTACTGCGTACTGGGTTTTTAATAAAAACACTTATTTGTCGGTCGACTGAAGTCTAGGATTTAACGTTGACTTTGAAAAATATATTTAGTCGCTCTGCAGTCGAGTCTTTAGAAAATATAAACTGTATATTTAATGGAATCGTCGTCAGGCCGACGTGTGTGACTCCTGCAGGAGTTTCATCATCGTATCTTTACGTCGACCGTTCCATTTTTATTTAACCCTTAAACGTGAGTGAAAACCTGTTCTGACGACTGAAGCTTTTCTTCTGATTTTTGTTTTGTTTTCTAAAAAAAAAAAACCAAAAAACTGCAAAACTTTTAAAAGGAAGTGGTTTTCTGTCCTCAGACCAAAGACGCGGGTTGTGACCCCACTGTCAGTCCACGACTTTATTTTCTGTTGCACGTCACGGCCGCGGACACTGGAGGTCAGTGTGTTTTCTGATGCAGGTCAGAAGGCACCGAGCAAAAACACAAAAACAAAAAAACAAAAAAATGACACCAAGAAACGGTGAAGCTGACGCTGCAGAAGCTGACGATTATTTTACCAACTGTTTCTTAGAGAAAAAAAAATAAAAAATCAGACGGAGGAGACGGAGGTTTTGTGTTTGTCTGAAAACTTTTTGACTTTGATAAGACATCAATGACATCACAGTGACCTGACAACAACGACAACAACAACAACAACAGAGCCGTCACTCACAGCACACACAGACAGTAGACGCCCGGCACGGAGTCACTGTTGCGTACGAGGTAACATCCGTCCCGTCCGTCCATGGACAGACGCCGCTCTCCCTCCTCCTTGCCGATGGGCCCGTGGTAGACGGTCAGCTTCTCCATCACCTCCTCGGCTCCAGCTCTTTCTGCTCTGCTCCTCCAGGTGCCGACTCTTCCCCCCCGACTCTCCTCGTCTTCATCAACTTCTCCGCAGCCAGCAGATCTTTTCTGGACTTTTCCAGGATCTGCTGCAGCTCAGCTCAGAGGAGCTTTGGTGAGCGAGAGCGAGAGCGAGAGCGAGCGCTGCAGCTGCTCTAACCTCTAACCTTTCTGAGTCGATGCTCGCTGCCTTCCTCTTTCTCTCGAGGTTGTGTCGATGTGAGCTCAGATAACGTGGGTTTGTCTTCTTTCTCTTTCAGGAAATGATTGTATTTTTTTTTCAACAGGAAATAACATCAAAAAATTCAAACAGAACGGTTCCACAACGATAAAGAGAGCAACAAAGGGATTTGACAAACAGGCGGCGAACCGAGAAGAAAGTGTTGGCGTCTTTTCTGCTTACGTGGGTTTTCTATTTTTGAAAAGAAGAAGTTTTCTGTGATATTTTAATATTTACACGACATGCGGCTAATTTTATGTTTCTCAGAAAGAGGAATAAGAATAGTAGTCTCGATGTTTATATATTTTTTTATATGTTTTTGTTTTAAGATATTTTTTCCTCACAGTTTTCGTGAGAACTTTCTAACTGTGAAGATGCCACGTCAGGGAACGTTCACTGTTAACTGTAAAATGTAGAATTGGTTTGAAAAACATAATAAAAAGTAAAATATATATTTAAATATATTTATATTAAAAATTAATTAAATATATATTTGATAATTGCGTTGGCGATTACGGTCTATTGAGTCACAGAAACTGGGGGAAATTTTTTTGTAGGCATTTTTGGTTGTGCAGTCATTTAGAACCAAGACGTTTTTTTGTTTTTTGTTTTTTGTTTCGTCAGAGACGTCAGAAAAAGACGTTAACAGGTGAAATTAATACAACCAGAGTTGGTAGCATTTAGCGATAGCATCAGGTCTGCAACAGTACAGACCGGTATTGGTGTATCTGGTGTGTTTGGGCTGTGACGGTACTGGAACGGCACGGTTCGGTTTGGTACGAAAAGAAACACGGATGCACAAAAAAATTTTAAAAAAAACATCCTAGCTAGCTAGTTTGTGTAAGCTTCGAATTTATTTTAATTAAGTAAAAAATAAAAACATTTTTCTGTTTTCATTGAGAATTTCAGCATTTTAAGAAGAACGGTGCTCAAAATAAGGTTCCGCGGGGCGGAGGCCCGTGGAGGGGGAGCTTAACGATAAGTCAGCAAGGCTGTAAGGCAGGTGCAGTAACACCGTGTGGCGCTAGTCACCATTCCCTCAACTTCTCTACTAAATCTTCCGTCATGTGACACATGTCGTCGCTCACAGCTGCTCCGTGTGCAGGAACATACTGTGGAGCAGAGAGGAACTCGTCGTCACGTCACGTCACGTCACGTCTGCTGCGTCTCATTAAGGAGCGTCTGATTAACAGACGTCGGTTGTGCCGCAGCTCTGCACCAAGGTGACAGCGACGCCCGCTCCTCTGCAGCAGAAGGAAACTATTCTGGGTCTGAGTTCTTAATTTAGTCCCTGGTCAGGAGCTGCTGCTGCTGCTGCTGTGAACGTCCTGGCTGAAAGACAAACTCCACCACGGTTCTCTCTCTCTCTCTCACTCTTCAGAGTGAGCCGTCAGTGGAGAACGTCTGTTGTTCATGTCGGACCTGGAGCCCACGTCAGTCATCCGTCTGTGTCACACACACTCCTCCCCAGACTCAGAGGGATCATGAGCGGTGGGCCTCTGGGCCCTGTCTGCCTAAGCAGCCGTGAGCAGGCGAGCAAGCTACAGATCCCACAGCACATTAGCACCACCCAGTGGTTGGAATTGTAAGAGCAGAACAGTGTAACGTTGAAGCACAGAGTGAAAATAAACAAACGGAAAGAAAAACAGAGAGAAAAACAGAACCAAAACTCCCAACAATCCAACAGTCAAAAACAGAAAACAATAAAAAAAAAAACAAAAACAGAACCAAAACTCCCAACAATCAAAAACGGAACACATTGAAAAAGCAATAAAATAAAAAAACCAATAAAATAAAACCCCCACAAACAAACAGTCAAAGTCTCTAACAATTCAACAGCGTCACATTCACACACAGATGTCATCCACCCACAGCGCAGAGGAGCTGGGTTTTTATAGTCTCAGCGGAGGACCAATCAGCTCACGAGGATCCACCTGAACACGTCACGTGATCACAATCATCACTTTCACACCTGAAACCAAAATTACTCTCTCTCTCACACACACACAAACACACACATACATGCAACGAGAAAACAAATAGTACAAACAACGAGGGATTAAAGCGCGACCCCTAGCGTCAGAACAATAGGAAATGAATTGAAGTCTCAGCCTGGTGACGGTTTTAGTTTATTTGTTTATATTTATATTTATATTTTTTAACAAACTGACATTTTCACACATGGACATGAAGAACTTCACTACATCAGGGTGGGAGGGGGTCATCAGGTCAAGGTGCCCCCCCCACCCACCGCCGTGTTTGAAATGAGAGCAAACGTCACATTTTGAAGGAGATTTATTTTCATTTCATTTCAACACTGTTTATAATTTGTATTATAATATTATATTTATCATAAAATAAAAAAACAAATCTTTATAAAAAAAATCATACACAGAAAAACAAACACAAACAACCTTTGACCTTTTCACAGAAAACTTCATCTTCATTTTTCATTTCTGTAGCTGCTGAAATCTGAAAGTTTAATTTCTTAATTCCACGGAGGACAAATGTAGTTCAGTCACATTTTTTGTTCAACATTTAGGGTCCATTCACGGCCTGGATTGGGCCTGCGGGCCACCAGTTGATAATCACAGATTCAGAGTGAATAAATAATCTGGAGAAAATATACACAAAAAAACAACATGAAAAAAAAAACTCCATAATTTAAAACTGGAGCTCGAACCCCTGACGTCCCTGCAGTGAGGCAGGACCACTGACCGCAGTCATAAAGGGAGTCTCTCACCCCCACTCACCCCCCCTCCCCCCCCGGGAGGCGTCTAATCAGGACCGCCGGGCTCCACGATGGCCAGGTCTTTCAGGTCGCTGAGTTTTCGAGAGAAAGAACTCAGTCTGGTGCTGAAGGAACCTCGTTTGTGGCGGTGGTCCGGCCCCCGGGGCTTCAGGCGGGCACACAGGCCCTTACACAGCCCCCCCAGGCGGCCCCGGAAGTGGTTCCCGATGAAGCAGTAAACCACGGGGTTGATGGTGGAGTTGGAGAAGCCCAGGCAGAGGGTGAGGGGGGTGAGGGTGGAGACGGTCCAGCTGACCCAGCAGCCGTCCAACCAGGACTCGCTCTGCAGGACGTCCATGAAGGTCACGCAGTGGAACGGGAACCAACAGAAGAAGAAGGCGAAGACCACGGCCGCCACCGTCCACAGGACGCGCTCCACCCCCCTGCCCTCGTGGGCCCCTCCCCCCGAACAGCTGGGGGTCACGCCGGGTGTCGGGGGTCGGTCCGATTTAGTGGCGTTCTCCGCGGACTGCGATGATTTGAAGGAGGCCGCGGCGACGGGAAGTTTCTTCGTCCGCATTCGCACCAGCCCCGTGCCCCCCAGGAGGTGGCGCCCGATGGCGCAGTAGCAACAGGAGATGACCAGCAGGGGGAGAAGGAAAGCCAAAATGACCTTCATGAGGACCAGGGCGATGTACCAGGTGTGGCTGGGGTATTTGATGGCGCAGGCCTCCACGCCGAGGGACTCGATGTAGTGAGTGTCTCTGAACACTAGGGTGGGCATGGAGCACAGACAGGCCAGAACCCACACCAGGATGCACGTGAACCGGGCCAGCACGGGGTCGCGCGTCCTCTGAGAGCGGAAGGGATGAACGATGGCGAGGTAGCGGTCCACGCTCATCGCCGTGATGAAGAAAATGGAGGCGTAGAGGTTGAGGTTGTGGAGCACGCCGCAGATCTTACAGGAAACGCGGCCAAACGGCCAGTTGTAGCCGTGGGAGTAGTAGACGGCCCAGAGGGGCAGCGACAGCAGGAAGAGCAGGTCGGACACGCACAGGTTCAACATGAACGTGTTGGCCACCGTCCTGCGTGAGGCGCTGGCGTGCGCCAACACGGCCACGGCCAGAGCGTTGGCCACAATCCCCAGAACGCAGATGACGCTGTACACGGTGGGTATGACCGTGGTCATAGGGATCGGGGGCCACGCCGGGCACGGAGGCTCAGACGCGTTCAGATAAATCTGTGTCGCCACCCGGGGGAAGGAGGTGGAGTTGGACATGAGGAGGTCGTCGGGGAAGTCCATGATTGGACGAGCGGAGAGTTGGACATGAGGAGGTCGTCGGGGAGGTCCATGATTGGACGAGCGGAGGTCCCGTCTGTTCCAAGGTCGACTGAAAAAAAAAAAAAAAAAAAAGTAAAACTTTGAAGTACTACCACATGTTAGCGTGTACTCTAACTCAGAAGACTGCAGTACTAACAAACAACCACCGTCTGGGAGTTGGTGATAAAACGTACAGGAAAAAAAAAAGAAAAAAAAAAGAGAAACTTTTCAGAGAATTGACGACGAACTTTAAGGACGAGAAATTAATTATTCAACAAAGCCACAGATTTGAACAGAATTTACATCGTTAATAAACACGAACTGCTGCGAGAAGATCGGGATTTAACGACTTCTCTCTGAATCTCACCCAGAGTTACGCAGCGTCCAGAAACTTCTCACTGATCCTGGATCAGGTCCATGGTTCGGTTCAAATCCTCCGAGTAAAATCTGCAGAGTGTGTGTGTGTGTGTGTGTGTGTGTGTGTGTGAGGACTGTCTCTGGTCTGTGGACCAGATGAGGACGGGGGTCTTATAGTCGTTGCACAAGAGGGGAGTTACGACACGTCACGTCTTCATCACTACCAAGGGGC